CTGGTTTTACAAGTGTAATCAGATTGAGGCTATTCCTGGAGTTTTGTGTGATATTTAATGCCATTCATTAATAAATAACTTGGCGTGCCTCACCTTGTGTTGACATTTTCAACAGGCTATAAAACGTTGGAACGGCTCTGCAGGAAAATGCAGTCTTAATTCAGAGCCTTCTAACAAAATTTGCTAAAATGTGGACATCTAGTGGCTCCACCTATTATTGCAGTCTTCTTTTAACATGCAACGTATTGACAACGTATTGCTTGTTTTTTCCTCATTGGCTCAGTGGATAAGCAGGGTGTGGTGGTTATTATAGCATTGCTTGAAGGACAGAAAGTACTGTACCATTTAAGAACCGCCCTGCGAAACAGATTAATGCTGCAGAATTATTATTTTTAATACTTATCTCAGAGATATGCAAAGAGAGATTCAATGCCAAATGCAGACACCCATTTATTAGCAGCAGCTAACCAATCACAGGACAAGGCTGTGCTGAAATAACAGCAGCAGCTCCCGGTTCAGTTGTAGGCATAATTTAAAGTGCTGGTTTTAACCATTAAAGCCCTTGACAACTTTGCTCCAGGTGATCGTAGGAACTCTGTTCCAGGGATGCCTGGTAGACCAGCTCCAACACTGCTTTTAGGAAACTGATAAAACTTCTTTATTCCATCAGAAATTTTGGGGGAGGAGACAGTGAACCAGATTAAATTTCAATAATTGAGGCCATTTTATTTGCTGCTCAAATTATGATTCTAATTTTTTAGAGTTTGTTTTTGTGACTGTTGAAATTATTGTGCAATGTTATAAGCCTTCCTGAGGACTCTGTAGAGTTATGGGGTGAGATATTTTGGCATATAAACTATACATAAGGTATAGAATCTTTGGAACTCCCTGCCTATTGACATTAGCCATGCTCCTTTGCTGTACTGTTTTTGGCACCTGCTTAAAACATTTTCGTTCCCATAAGCTATTTAGACATGTAGTTGTTGACATGTTTTGTCCACTCTGTTTCAGTTAAAAACAACCTATTCTCATTCTCAGTCCAATTCAGTGCACATATTTCTATAGCCCACTGCAATAAAACTATAGGGAAGTTAAACTATTGTCAAATCTGACCTGGATAAGTAAATTCATATTTTATGCCTTCTGCCATTGACAGTTCTGCAGGGGAATGTAATTACCCTTGACAATGGCTTTTATTACTTTGGAAGGAAGCAAACTCATGGCATAGAGGTCAGTGAACTGCTGTCAGCCTAAACTGAATTTGTTGACACAGGTCTATTTCCAGCAACAAATGGGCACTTAACATTTTAGCGCTTACAAAATCAGATTAAATTGCTAAACTTACTGTATCTAAAACAACTCCAGCTTTTCATTTCCCAAGGCATTTCAACAATAGGGAGAAGGGTAGCTCTGACCTGTAGGACAGCAATCCTGACACCTATTCAGAATGATTATCCCATTCTCTGAAAATAGCTAGTTGTTATTAGTACAGCTGAAAAAAAATACTTCAGGGTTAGAGAGAGAAAAGCCATGTCCTCGTTTCTTTTCCCCTCTCCTCCCCCACCTGTGAGGAAGGGGTAAAAATATACCGTATTTTTTGCTCTATAAGACTCACTTTTTTGCTCCTAAAAAGTAAGGGGAAATGTGTGTGCGTCTTATGGAGCGAATGCAGGCTGTGCAGCTATCCCAGAAGCCAGAACAGCAAGAGGGATTGCTGCTTTCACTGTGCAGTGATCCCTCTTGCTGTTCTGGCTTCTGAGATTCAGAATTTTTTTTTTCTTGTTTTCCTCCTCCAAAAACTGGGTGCGTCTTGTGGTCTGGTGCGTCTTATAGAGCGAAAAATACGGTATATGCTGAAAATGTCCCATTTTGAAAGCCTTTGCTTTTTTCAGTTTCACAGAATCATGAATTGCCAAAGTGGTAAGTATAACTGCTATTTTTCAGGGTTTTATAGTGATGCAGGTCATATTCACATCACACATTTAAAGCACATGGCTTACCTCCCAAATAATCCTGGGAACTGTAGTTTATTAGAGATGCTAGGAACTGAAGCTCTGTGAGAGGTACCGGTAAATTACTGTTGCATGTCATCCCAATCTCCAAGCAGTGCAAGATTCTAGGAGTTCCAGTCAATGATCCAGGGTTCGGTTTCCTTTGAATGAGGGACAGTGGAGACTGTGATCTTTAGGATATATGGTTTATTTACACCTATATACAACCTGAGCCTATGGTAGAGGGACTCACAACATTAACATTCCAAGAAGGTTGTGTTTCTCCTAAACCCAAATCTTGGATTACAGCAGAAATCAGGCATGGTTGTGGCTCTCAGCTGCCCAGCCTGCTTCTAGCTCTCACACACAACTCTGGTTTTTGTATTTCTAACCAACAGACAGTTAAGGGAGCGGGATTCAACCACTTGCTTTCTGGCACATAGCCACTTCCTTTGCTATCTTAATGACCTACACATGAGCCATTACTAAGAAGTTTGTCAGACTATTCGAGCGATTGAATCTTTGTTGGATCCAGGAATTAGAAGGGCCTCGGGCATGCAGCCTATTCCATCCCAACAATACAGTTCCCATGATTATTTTGGGGAAGTTGGGTGCTTTAAATATGTGGTGTGGATGTGACCAGATATGCTATTTAAAAAATAAAAAATAAAGGTCCCCTCAAAAATTAGCTTTAAAATGGTAGGGATAGTGGAGTTACATATCATCAACAATATCTAGATCTCTATGGTCGGAGCAGGAGGATAAGAAAGTTTATCAAGCAGAATTGACTATGAAACTAAGAGAAAGAGAGACAACTAATTTAAGGAAGAATGGAAGATGTTTATTGCATATTTACAGAAGCAATGTACACATTAGCAGGGTTTTAAGATTACTTGTAATTTTGTTAGGAATGGATAATAGGGATTTTAATAGGTTAAAATTTAACAACAGACATGCAGTATGTTGATAAATAATAGAACCAAGGAAGGGATTAGAGGGAAGTCAATTTGTTTTGCTTTTGTATTGTTCTTGTTTTTATTTTTGTTATTTTTGGAAAATCAATAAAATGTTACTTTAAATATATATATAAGATTAAGTTTATCAAGCAGTAATACTACATACAGTAGGAAAGTCCTATCTTGTCATAGAATCTTGAGAGTTGGAAGGGACCTCAATGGTCATCTAGTCCAACCTCCTGCAATGCAGGAATCTCAGCTAAAGCATCCATGACAGGTGGCCATCCAACCTCTGCTTTAAAATCTCCAAGGAAGGAGAGTCCACCACGTCTTGTGGGAGTCTGTTCCACTGCTGAACAGCTCTTAGTTTCAGAAAGTTTTTCCGGATGTTTTTGGATTCTCCTTTCTTGTAACTTGAAGCCATTGGTTCAAGTCCTACCCTCCAGAGCAGGAGAAAACAAGCATGCTCCCTCTTCTGTCTGACAGCCCTTAAGATATTTGAAGATGGCTATCATATCTCCTCTCACTCTCCTCTTCTCCAGGCTAAACATACCTAGCTCCTTCAAGCGCTCCTCATAAGGCTTGTCAGTTGCCCAAGAATCTACAAAGTGGCCTATGCCGAAAAGCAGACTCCTCCAACAAGCAAATGTAAGAAGTGCTGGTTTTGTTTTTCAAATACCTTTCAACCAGCACCCATTTTGCCCTACACTGCACATCGTTCCTTAACCGACATGGTTGAACAGGTTGATGTGGAGAAAGAAGAGGGAACTCCCTTGGGAAATGGGATTCTTAAACTTAGCTGCCACCTTTCAAAAATAAGGTCCATTGCCACGGAACAAGAGGAAGCGGGGAGAGAAGAGGAGCATGAACGCTGATGCTGCCGTTCTTTACACCAGCTTAAGAGCTGACACGCTACCCCATGGGTAGGCAACCTAAGGCCCAGGGGCCAGATCCAGCCCAATCGCCTTCAAAATCCAGCCCACGGACAGTCCAGGAGTCAGCGTGTTTTTACATGAGTAGAATGTGTGCTTTTATTTAAAATGCATCTCTGGGTTATTTGTGGGGCATGGGAATTTGTTCATTATTATTTTTCAAAATACAGTCCGGCCCCCCACAAGGTCTGGGGAACAGTGGACCGGCCCCCTGATGAAAAACTTTGCTGACCCCTGCGCTATCCTATCTACATTCATGCGGGAGCAAAGCCCACATAGCAGACGTGTCCAGGATTGGCACAGTCTGGGGCACTTTGGAATAATCTGCAACAGAATACCACACTTCTCAGGCGCAAACCCCACTCTCTTCAACGGGGGCTTATTCTCAGGGGAACAGGCGATGGGATTGCAGCCTACGGTCTTCAGGCACCAAGCGAGTGGCCCTTTCCAGGGTGCCCCCCACCCAAGCGCTTGGGAATCAACTTCCGACTGGGGCAGGGGGAGGAGTTCCAAATTCTTAACACTATTCCCAGCACGAAGGTAGAAAGATTACACAGCGCATGCGTTTTCTTTCCCCCACCCCCGCCCTCCTTACGCGTTGCCGATTGGCTGCGTAGTTTTCGATTCGCCCTATTGCCACAGCGCAACGAGCCAACGTTACGACGTTCCTATATGTAGACCTCTGGTTCCCAATCGCAGCATGAAGAGTCTGCCATATGCGGGGAAACGATAGCGGGGATTAGTGCAAGAACCGAAGAACGACACCCTGAACGTTAGAGGCTTCCTTGCTAGGGTAGGACTTTGGGAGAAACAGCTAAAGAGAGAGACTCACGCAGTGAGCAGCATTGCCTAGATAAGCATGATGATAGCCATTTTACTTTAAAGTCTGAATTTAAGGCTGCACCTCTTCTACTCTTGCTTCAGATATGGAGGACGCGAGTAAGAACCGGAAGTGATGGTTACATGGCACGCTTCGTTTTATTTTTGCCTCTTTGGAAGCAAGAGGCCTTTCCTCCTATCGAGGCGGAGGAGTCCTTTCTGCATGTGCGGCGGGGGAAGAGCCGCTTGCATCCTTTCCGCTGCTCGGGTTCAGTTCGCTGCTAGTGGCCAGAGAGGTGCTTTGGTTAACCTTCTTTGCAAGAGGGAAGAAGAGCCAGCCAGTTAACTGCGAGCTTTGTGCGGGGAGCTGTCAAGAGCTTTTTCTCCCTCCCATTTGTCTCTTAGGCAGAACTGGGGCTTGGCTGTGCATTGCAGGGGGTTGGAGTAGATGACCCACAGGGTCCCTTCTGCACAAACCCTCCCGCTTCCAGAGCCCTCTCGTTGGGTGTGCTTGTACCGAGGAGGGTGTCCCTAGTGTACAGTGTCCCTCTTTGCCTTTTGTCCTCAGGAAAGGGAGAATGGGAGAGAGGGACGCAAACATCCTGGGATCCTTCTGTGTCCTCTTTTTCTCTCTCTCCCCACCCCAAGTCCAAAGGGGACACTGCTTTCTTTGCTTGTAATTTTTATCGTATACTTAGAGAAGGCATTATTTTGCTGAGCGTGTGCTCAGCATGCATGCCACTTTCCCACTTTAAAAAAGCCTCTCTGGGTGACTTACAAGGTAACTGAAACCATCAAGAGAACAAATAACATATTTTAAATTTCTGCACAGTTTTGGAACTAAATTAGCACAATAAAAACCCAGAGTTGGCCAATCTCAGAAATATGGCAGAGCCAGATAAGTCTTCAGCATCTCTAAAAATTTCAGTGGAGTGGGTCTATATTGGGAGAGAATTATATAATTTAATAATAATAATAATATAAAGGCACCACCACAAAAAAGGCAGGTCGGTCGTGCCCCAATTGGTGATGGTGGAGGCACTGGCACCCAAAGTGTGTCTCCAGCTAATTATTCAGGGAAGGGAAAATAATGGAAGACAGTAATTCTTTATGCAGCATGCCAAAATGTACTTTACGCAAAAGCTCTCTTTGTATGATAACATCTTTTTGTGGGTGTGGGTAAAGGCAAGGCAGGAGTTGGAGCTTAAACTACCACCACTTTTGGGGACTGCCAGTCCCTGTTGAGAAGAACTATCAAGGTACCCCGTGGCGAAAAATATTTTTCAGTGTAAAAACAACTAAATGAATGCACAAAGAAAGCTCAAGAAAATGAGTTAAGACACTTGGTACAGAAGAGAGTGCAAACACTTCCAGAGTCTTTCCCAAATATGTGTGTTGTAATTTTGTTTGGTTTTAGCACTTTGAGTTCCTGATAAAATACTACTGTCATATTCTACCCTTTCAGTATTCCAGCTCTTAGAGTCTTCCAGTGTGTTAAGCCTTTTTGGCCTGTGTAACCCAAGGTGAATAGTTTACAAGGCCAGGTTCTACCTCGCTGCTCACCAAGAAGTAACCCCAGTAAGTTGTCTTGCGTTAAAATGGAATAACAGATGGGAAGAGGCTGTTTCTGCAGGAATATTAAGACCATGAATCCCATGAGTTACTGTGTATGTTTGAAAATCAAGGCATGAGTATATATATTTCCAGAAAGCGTTTGAGTTGGTGTCCTGCTTTTATGCCACTGAAATCAATTGTTCTGACCAATTCAAGGGAAAGGATGTTACTTTAATGGTTCATCAAGCATACCTAATAAGTGTCTGACTTTAAAAAATATTTCACAAGTTTTTCTTCCCTTTCTGTTCTTTGTCCTTAGATGACTGTTGTTAAAGTAGAAGGATAATACAAAATGGCAGAAGCAATTTTCCACCCCCCAAGAAGGAAGAGAAGAGTATATGAATCATATAACTCTCCGTTTCCTATTTCTTCCACCGGAGAGGGAATTCACGGAAGAGATTTCCAAATATGCCAGGCTGAAATTATAAATAACAATGTAATTGTGAAGAATCCTGAAGATATAGAACACCTATATAGTATGGTATTCTTGACTTTTGTTTATCTGTCTAATGCATGACACTTCTGACATTGAAAAGATTCACACAATGGATTTTTTAAAATGTAATTAATATTCCAAACCAAATAATTGTCAATCTAGTTAAAATACTGTGTGTGTGTGTGTGTGTGTGTGTGTGAAGGCGTGAGGTGGGGAGGGGCAAATCAATCAAATAATCACATGGGTCCTGTATTTCTATATGGAATGGTTGAGAAGGCATCAACAGCAAAATAAGGTTTATATTCATGAGCACTATACTGTGGTGGATTGTGTGTTTCATAGAAACTCGCTAGTGTGTGCTTCTCTTTTAAAGCCATCCCTGCTGGTGGCCCTCAATACATTTTGTGGGAATGAATTCAATAGCTTTTAAGCACTATATGCATATTTATTTTGCCTGTCCTGAATCTTCCAACGCTCAGCTTCATTGGAAGTCCACAAGTGTTATGAGAGAAGGAGAAAACCTTTTCCTAATCCACTTTCTCCACATTACATAGAAGATAACTTGTCTTCAGCACCAGAGTAACTGCTCTCAGAGAGCTTGTGTTTATTGACTGACTTTCATACATGCTGGAAGCTTTCTAGTTTAAAAAGATACGACAGTGTGTGTGATCAATAACGCAAAGAATATCAAATGCACAACTGTGGAACTGTTGGTAACACAGATGTTTCATTTTTCTAGGGATTTTTTGGGAAAGGTATTCTTTCCAGAAGTCGGCCGGAATACAATATTTCAGATCCTATGTTGGTTGCTAAGTGGCAAGGTAAGCTAGTCTGAAACTGAATTAAAGGCATAAAGTGTGCATAATGAACTCTTTTGATTGGCTCAATTTTTGGTCCTTAAACGCTTAAGGGCCTGGAAAACAGCATTTGCAGACACAATATTGCAGCAAATGTTGTTTGGATTCCTCTTATGCAGAAAGGGTGGCCAGGAAGACAGATATATTTTTCTGCAGGTATCTTAGTATGAATGCATTACTTGAAGCAAAATCCAAACTGTCAGTACAATGCTATCCCCCTTTCCACATAGATAGCTTGGGGAGGTAGGGGGAACAGGGGAGAAAAAATGGCCCATAGATGTCTCTCCATCACTTCCACTAGTGGAGATAAGCGCTGCTGATGGGGCAGGGAGCGAGGCTGTGCCACAACGGCTACCCAAGTTCCACCCTCATGAATGGAAAGCTACCAGGGCTAACAGCTTTAGATCCAAAATTGCATGGATTCCCTGAGGCGTCCCATTCTTTGTTCCCTTGTCTATGCCAGCCTGGAGCTGCCGCACAAAAAAAGGGGGAATTTCCTTTCAGCCTTCTGCCCAGAAAGCAGCAGGACTTTGAACGTGGAGGTAGATCTGCTGATCCACTCCACTTGGCTGCTCCCAGCCGGGGTTTGGGTTGCCCTGTGTGTTAACTTTCCAATACTTTGAATATTTGTGCAGAATCAATAGCTAACAATTCTGCTTTTATTGCAGATGTCGGGTTAAACATGCCGATAATCTCATCGAAAAAGTAAGTGCAGCTCCCCCCCTTTTTTCTTTCTGTGTCTGAAGCTTGAACTGCAGTTCCTTGGTACCAGGGAGGTTCAACTAGCGCCTTCATTATACACCTTTGGGTGCCAGGTGAAGATGTTCCTCTTTAACCAAGCCTTTGGCTGATTGACATCCGATGCCCTTTTAAATCTGTTGTGGAAGGGAGGAGGCGTTATTGGTTTGTTTTTGTTCCTATTTTTGTTATGTACAGTGGTACCTCAGGTTAAGAACTTAATTTGTTCTGGAGGTCTGTTCTTAACCTGAAACTGTTCTTAACCTGAGGTACCACTTTAGCTAATGGGGCCTCCTGCCGCCGCCGCGCAATTTCTGTTCTTATCCTGAAGCAAAGTTCTTAACCCGAGGTACTATTTCTGGGTTAGCAGAGTATGTAACCTGAAGCGTATGTAACCCGAGGTACCATTGTACTTTGTGTTTTCTATATTGTAATTTTGTGCTGTGAACTGCCCTGGGATCTATGGGCATAGGGCAGTATACAAACTTAATAATTATAATAATAATAATAATCAATAGTGAAATTGAAGTTTGTTAGGGGTGGCTAATGTGGTGCTTGAGGGTGCACATGGGTCTGCAGGGGGCTTTTCTGGCACATGTAGGGGCCCCTCCCCCTGCTGAAATTAAGCACAAAAGAATCATTATTGTGTAGCCAACAGAAAAGGTCTTGGTGTGTGCTTGGTTGCAGGACGTCTTATGTGGTGCTAAAAACAGTTTCTCCCATTTGCAAGTGTGTCCGCAGGCCTCGGAAAGATTGGCAACCCCTGATTTAAGTGCTAGCATTCCGAAAGTGAGAAATGGGAGGCAAAGTTAAAAATAAATAAATAATCTTGCCTGCAAAGCAAACAAATAAATTTGAGATATAGTTAAGACGCTGGCTACTTAAAATCTTCTGTGTTTCCTTTTTTTATTCCAGGTACCAGCGTCATGTAGAATGGGCTAAAAGCCTCATGCGGGAGCAAGGACTGGATGACTTCACAGTTGATGCAGCCATTCTGAATTATACGCAGCCCGTTAATCTGAGAGAAGTTGAGCAAAATAGTGAGGCTGAGGAGACCATCAAGATGGAGACGGCTGAGGATGAGTCAAAGCATGCAGTGACTTCTTCTGAAACAAATGGGGATAAAGTAGCTGGCCTGGAAGGTGATCCATTTTTTGACCCACTAGCTGAGAATGACTCTAATGAATCAGATGTAACAGGATCTAAAGCTTTAGCTGAAAGACACTTGGCAACACTGTGTCCAGTCAGTGTGCACCACAGCTACAAGCCAGAAGATTGTATTAATCAAGACTATAATAATGAGTTTGTGTTAGTTCAAGAAGAGGAAGAAGAAGAAGAATCAAATTTATGTCTGAAAAAAGAGGTAAGAAATCACACATAAGGTCACAATTTAGCCCATTGCTGTTTTTGGAGGGGCAACTTTTGTTAACAAATTATTAAAATAACATTTTGCCTTTTCAGCAACATATATCTGACAAAGGCATTAGGCGTAATCATTTATCCCTTTCTGCTGAAAGAAATCACTCAGCTGATCTGCATCAGCAAAGTGTCATTTGAAAGACATTATGGCATTTATGCAGTAAAGGCAGGTCAGTTTAACAAGCAAGTTGTGAATCTTGGAGTTTCAGTTCTAAGGTTCTCCTGCCCACGGCACATTGGGACATGGGAGAAGAGAAGCCAGTGCCATCAAATGAGGTGTGCTAAGCAGAGAGAGAAAATTATTAGGCATGTCAGAAGGAGATTTTATGGGAGAAAAGGAATACGAAGTATCTTGCTGGCAGGCTCTTAGCTAGGTTAGGCTCTTAGCTTAGAGTTATTGCTGCGCCTTTGTAACTTTGGTTTGCTACTTTTCTTGCAGTTAGTCAAAAAAGAAAGGTTAGTGTGCAGAAGGAATCCGTTTAGGATCTTAGAATATTTGCAACTCAGTCTAGAAGAGGTAAGTTTGGAAGACTGTCATACTTAGTAATTTGCTAGTGTAAATATATAACTTTGGTATTTGCATGGTTTTTGTTTTTAAGAAAGTGTGGATAAATTTTGGAAGAGGAAAAATTACAAATTCAGTCTTGCAGAATTCTGACATGATTGGCCTTTCCAGGTGCATTTGTACTACTGGTCACTAGAGCAGCCACATGATATTGCCCACCACTTGCTTCCAGTTGGATTCATATTGAATATGGCTCATAATTCTGATAAACTGTGATAGCTGCTATGGCTGTTGCAGCTCCTTTTTGACTCCTCCAGAGTCCCAGGCATTCCTTTGTGGTCCTTAGGACGTCACTGCCCAAGTCCCTCCTCACTGCACAAATGATCATTTGTACCTCTTCTTTCATTTTGGGGAACTTGTTCCCTGCCATATCCCCCCCCCTTTCTTCAGCAGTCCACTCCTCTTACCTAGCACTAACGTACACACTTCTTGGTGGTGATTTTTCTTTCTTTTAAGGACGGCTTCCATCCCAAGGCTAAGCTCTTTTCCCTTCTGTTGCTAGAATTGACAACACGAAGAATGAAAGTCATATTCTAGTGAAGGGTTTCCCCTCTCTCAAAAGATCCTGAATAATCCTGTTACTCTTACTCAGTTCCTCTGTTTTCAGTGGAATTTACTTAGGATAAACTCTTGAAGGATTGTGCTCATTGGGTAGATGGATTGCAGCAAAATCTTTTGTTTGTTTGCTCAGAAGCAAGCATGTAAATGACTGCAACCTTGGGTGTAAATGGGAGGGCTTTTTTATTATTATTATTTGAGGATTCAGCAGTCCTGTTTGTACTGATGAGAACTTAGCTCCTATTATTTGATGAAAAGTATGATTGTGTGAGCAAATGCGTTGTTTGACTTTTCCCACTTCCCTTTCCACCTCCCTACCGTTACTATGCAAAACATGTCGGCGCCAGTACTCTGTAATAATGTATATAACATACACAAAATAATTCTAACTACTGTTTGTTTTTTAGGCCTTTTTCTTGGTCTATGCTCTGGGATGTTTAAGTATTTATTACAATGAGGTAAGATGGTGCCTTTAGTCAATACAATACAAATCTTTATTACGGTCATAGACCAGCATAAAAGGGTGGGATACAGTCATTTGAAATCTGAAAAGCATTTTGGAAAGCTAAAAGGTATTAAAAGAGAAGGTTAATATAAAAGTCTATAGGAATTTAAAAGAAGCTAAAAGAAGGGATAGGAGGATTGGACAGGTGTGGAAGAGCGTAAAAGGCTGATTTATAAAAGACTTTAATTCATGGAGCACTCTGATACGTTCCTTAAATCTGGTTTGTGGCACAGGTCATCCTCCGATGAATTTTGAGCACTGCTGTGCAGAATCTAGCAACACTGTGTGTTGTAGCAAGATTGGTATCTGAGAGCAGCAGGGAGGTATAGAATTGCCCTGTGCGCCCTGGGTACTTATGAAGTAGTGGGGAAATGAGGCTAATACGAACGTCTCTGTAATACAGGCACTGGAGAAGGACATCCTCCACCGTTTCTATTTGTCCCGAGTCACAGGGACATTGTCTCCCGGGTAGTTAATCTTCCTGTATCGACCTTCAATGACAGCATGACATCGAGCCAGGGTAAAAGCCCTTCGGTATTTAGGGACTTCAAGTTTAGTTAGATATTCCATAGGGGAGACAAAGTACCTGGTGGATTCCTTGGCAGTAAAAGTTGGGAGTCCTGGCTAGATCCAATTGGTGGCTAGATCCAATTAGGTGCCTTTAGTCTGTAGTAGTAAGCTGTGTGTGAGTTAACCTGTTGCGTGTGTTGCTTGTTACCATAAAACAACAAACACTTTGTAATAGTTTCCAAGGCAACTTGCACCATGGGTAATTTTTCCTTCTCATATAATCTTATGTTCTCTGCATAAACGTAGACAGTCTTTGGTTACAATTCTGCATTAGTTGCGTATGGCCTTTGAACTCTGTGGGTTTTAATTCCCAGTGAACATGCATAGCATTGGATTGTAAGTTCCATTCATTTTAGGGGGCTTAAATGGGTATAACAGAGCTCAGGATTTTGTATAATGCGATGAGAATAAAGCTTTATCCTAAACTTTTTCTGCGTTGTGTAGTTGAGTATACCATTTGGTGTTCCATTTCTGACTGCTGAGTTCCCTAGACTAGATGCCCTGGAACCTATTTTTAATAGCTTTAGCTACACCGCAGTTCAAAAGCTAGATGGCATTTATGCTTAGACTTGCATGACAAACTTCACATTTGGCTTCTGTCCTCTTTGTGCCTTCTCCCAACTTGAATAAAAGATAAAATACGCTGCTCTAGAAGTGGCTAAGATTGTTGACTTAGCTGCCAATAATAGTAGGTTGCTTTTGTACACTGTAATTATAGGAAAGCATCTGGTTGTGTTTTTAGGCACCTTTATCTATTCTGAAGCTATGGGAAGTTTTTAGCGAAGCACAACCCAAATTTAAGGCTACATACATGGCATATCACTACTTCCGTAGTAAAGGATGGGTCCCTAAAGTTGGTCTGAAATATGGGACTGACCTCTGTGAGTATTTTCCTTTCATTGATTTTAGTTTGCAGTAGAGGCTGGTGCACACAATGCGGATCCAGTCCTTTTTATGTGGTGATGCACTGTCCCCTCCCATTTCCACAAGGACAGATTTTCCAACGCATGGCCTGCAAGCACAGGCCATTAAGTAGGGGATGGTGCAGTCAATTCCCAGGTAAGACCTGGGGACCAATTTTGACCTGCATGGTTTGATGTTAGATATGCAGGCTATAATTCATCTGTGCCATCCTCATAGTGATGGGCAGAAGCAAGAAAGTGTGCTGGAAAGAGGGGTGGGCAGGTACTTTTGCATTCCCCCTCCACATGATCACTAGATTGCTATCACCCAGACCGACCCATAGATAGCCTTTGTGATATCATTTCCCCCATTATTTGAGAACAAAGACCACTGGACCAAATATGGTTAGTGCAGATTGCAGAATGCAAGAGAGGCCACACACTGGAGCTGTGTGATGAAATGGATATTGCAATGATGAAAGCTGGTGGAGCTTTGTGGGGTGGGGGATTGGCTCAGCTAATAGTCTCACAGTGCAGAAAGTTATTTTTTGTCAACTTGCTCCCTAACTTAAATAGGCTATTGCTCATTGTCTGGTTCATTTGTGCAGATGTGCTCCCCATTCATTTGACTGTAGCTTCCTTGAATCTTGAGCGCTAATGTCTTGGTGTTCCTATTCTTTGTTGCCTCGTTTGAATAATAGGTGTGCACACAGCAGTATTTTTTGAAAGAAATGTTTAATTGATGGCCTGCTGTCATCTGTAGGAGGGAAAAGCTTTTTACCATAGGCAAGAAAGAGTCTGGTAATCTCCTGGGGGTGTTTATTGTGCTTGTGGAGCACATTTAATATACAGAGCTCTTTACAGTCTTTCCTCAGTTCATCTCTTCCAGTTGCCCTTCAGGCCTATGAGCATGGGGAGTGAGACCCCAGCCATTTACCTGGGCAAGTCCTGGTGGGGATTTACCTCCCATAACCTACCCTCACCCCCTCCTTTCTAAGAGGAACAGACCCAGCAAGGTATTGGCTTGCCTGAGCATGCAAGAAGATTAATGACATCACCGTCCCTCTCTGAACACAAATGATGATAAAAGAATGCAACATTTTAAGCAATTAGTTTTCCCAATAAAAGAATGTTTCACTTCTCTTTTAGTCTGGGGGACCAACTTGCTGTTAATTACTATGGTAATCCCTTGGCAGCATCAACTGTGCTGCATTAGTTACTGCTCCAGATTCCTCTTGGTCCACATTCAGTCTTTTGAGTGGAGCCAGTTTGCTTTGGTTCCCAGGACCATTGGCAGCTCTCTTGAGTAAATAGCTCTGCACATTACGTCCCCAAATGCTGTGCATGCAGCTGTGACCTCCTCTGCATGTGTTTTCCTAGACTGAGAACCTCATCTAGGAGCAGGTGCAACCTTGGTAAGATTGTTGGCAAGCAAGTGAGAAGCCGGAGGCTGGATTTAACCCATCTCTCTTGGAATAGATCACTCTGTGGCTGTTTTTAGATCCTTATGTGTTATGTTTGCTAGTTGACTTGGAGTGACATGTGTGGGGTTTTTTCCCCTGAAGGTGGCACTGTACAAGTAGTTAAAATATCTTTATTCCCAGTTACCTGATTAGGACTTTTATTTATTGTGAGCAGCTTCAGCTCCCAACTGCTGTTAAAATAAAAACAAACCACCCTGATCCTATTATATTATGGTTTAGATTTTCAAAGCTGAGTAATGGGGAAGCCACGTGTCCTACATTAATATGATTCAAAATGAAGAAAGCATGATTATTTCTAGTAAGCGCTTGTTTTGTTTCTTTTCTTCCCATTGCAGTGTTGTATCGAAAAGGTCCTCCTTTTTACCATGCCAGGTATAGCATTCAGATTTGGATATTACAGACAGACAGACAGACAGACAGACAGATATGCTTAAATGTTATGCTTAATTCTTGCATCATTAGCACTGAAGGAAACATGATTGCATTGGGAAGGGACAGGAGATTGACATTTTTAATAAGCACTCTGTGGTACAAAGCAAGTTTGAGTACAAGTTTTCCTTAGTGGACTCATAAGATATCTAACAGAGTGACTCTGGAAAGGCGCTTTGAGTTCGGGTAACTGGATGGAGGGCTAGACAAAATATCCTGCAATGTGGCTGTATCTTGTAATAACAGAAACTTTTGCTAATTGGTACACTTTAAAAGTATGAAAAATGCACTTGTTGCTCTTTTTGTTCACTCTGCTAAAGTGAAGCTTCAGCTCTTAAGTAAATTTTAGCTGAGGACTAGTGGACTGTACGTAGTTTTTAAATGCCAGTTTCACCCCATCATCCTAAAAAAGTTTCACTTTGCTTTGTCTTCCAGTTACTCTGTCATTGTGGAATTAGTTAACAGTGACTTTGAAGGGTCACCACACAGACCTTTCAGCTGGAAGTCTTTGTCTGGGTTGAACAGGACTACAGCAAATGTTTCCAAGGTAACATAGACTCAGCTAAGCATTTCAAAGCTACAAGGAAAAGCATTGTGGAGCAAAGGAAAGGTGCTACAGTGTCGGCACAAAAAGAGATAATGTGAAGTTGTCAATTATAGCCATAAATAAGATAAATGAGATACTGATCAATTGATTTGATTGATCCTCCATGTGTGTGACCTATCCTGGGTTCAGCTGTGTTTCTTAGTGTCACCGAAGCCGCTTCAAGTATAGTCGTACCTTGGAAGTCGAAAGGAATCGGTTCTGGAAGTCCGTTCAACTACCAAAATGTTTGGAAACCAAAGTGCAGCTTCTGATTGGCTGCAGGAAGCTCCTGCAGCCAATCAGAAGCCCCGGAAGCCCCGTCAGATGTTCAGTTTCCAAAAATAGTTCGCAAACCGGAACAGTCACTTCCAGGTTTGCAGAGTTTGGGAGCCAAAACATTCGAGAACTAAGCTGTTCCAAGACCAAGGTATGACTGTATTTGTATGGGGAACTCTTACATTCTGGGCATCTGCTCCTTTTCTTATTCAGTGCTAGCCACTGATAAGAGACAGTTCAGGGAACTTCCCAAGTTTCAGGGAAGAGAGAAGAAACGCCCAGTTCCAGTAATCAGGGTGTCTTAAGCCCTATGTGCACTTATCTCAAAGTAAGGCCGAAAAAACATAATGGGACATTTCCAAGTAAAGAGTGGAAGTAAGATTGCAGGGTTAGTGTACATACATACTCAATTTCAAATTTCTAGCTTACGGGGGAGTACTTTAAATATTTCAAGTCAAGCACATTCAGATTTCCATTTTAACACTTATCTAGTAGCTGGGATGTGTTGGAATACTTGCTTATCAGTTTTCAACTTTTTATCTGAAACCTTACACATTTAGTAACCTATCTAGAACACACTTATTTTATTTTGTCCTGCACAGCATTCTTTAAATGGGTATAACCCCCATTAGACACACTGGGAAGGGTACTTTTCTGGAAACATGCAACAGAGTAATAAGAACTGGAGATAAAGTACTTATGCCTAGTACTTCTGATTAGAGTTGCACATACATACACAGACAGGTCTCTCATCGCTGCAATTTTTTGTGAAATTTCACTTCACAAACTTGAGTTTGAGGCTCTTTGGAGCTTCCCCCAATACAGCAAGAAGAATTGCCATAGGTAGGAATACAAATTGTGACCACTGAAGCTTTCCACAAAGGAACCCTGGTCTTAGAATCGGGGAGCAAGCGAGTGACCTGTACATAACCATCCAATTGCAGACCACGCCCAATGTGATTGTGGTTGGATGACAATTTGAACCCAGATCTTCTTGATTCACATTCAGCGTTATATTCATTGAAGCACATTTTGCCTTACTACCACTACAGATGTAAAGAGCAAATCTTACACTACATGAATTTCGTACATTTTAATGGATATTTTTTTTAACCACCAGGAACTCATGTTCTGCTATTTGATTCAGCCACCTGATATGACTGCAAAAGAAATGTTGTCACCAGAATGTCTCAAAAGAATTAAAGTTCAGGTATGCAAGTCCTGCTCTGATTTGTTTTCTGAAGTCACTGACTGCCTTAAGGTATCCAGTTCTCTGGATAGAATGTAGATAATATTTTAATAATTTATTTTGTAATAGTATTTGAACCTTTCCTAATTCAGTAGATCTATGTAGTAACTAGAGCTGGGTATACTACACATGGCAATCTGATTTGAGAACCTAGGCTTAATAGCTGGGAATGCAGTAAAAATATTTTTGCTTGTGCCTGAATTGTTAGAGTAATTGTTGAGCAATTCAGGCTAATTTATATATCTCAAAAGAGCAGAATGAGATACATCATTTGCCTAACTTATGAGGCTCCTTCCTATAGATGTTACAGGAGCAATGAGGCATCTAGTTACATTGATATGCTTTCTATGCCATTTCAATAGCAGGTGAATTACTCTTGAAAAAGTAGTACAGTGGTACCTCAGGTTAAGTACTTAATTCGTTCTGGAGGTCCATTCTTAACCTGAAACTGTTCTTAACCTGAAGCACCACTTTAGCTAATGGGGCCTCCTGCTGCTGCTGTGCCGCCAGAGCACAATTTCTGTTCTCATCCTGAAGCAAAGTTCTTAACCTGAAGCACTATTTCTGGGTTAGCAGAGTCTGTAACCTGAAGCGTATGTAACCCGAGGTACCACTGTAATAAGAAGTAATGCTCTAGTGTGGTCCTAGAAATCCTAGAAAACAGTACAACATAATGCCTAAGATTTGAAGTTTCTAATCCGACACTCTCAAGGGAACTTCGAGCTCCTGAATCTTGAACATCAGCCCGCTATGCCACATAATACACCTCTTTCACTGATATGGGAAAGACAAGCGAAACACCAAAATCATATTGTACATGGCTCAGGTCTTGGCATACTGAAAACAGAAGGTGTGCTGACGTAGAATCATAGAACTGCAGAGTTAGGAGGGATCCCAAGTGTCCTCTAGTCCAAACAGTTGCAACGCAGGAATCTCCATGACGGATAGCCACCCAGCCCCTGCTTAACAACCACCCGTGAGGCCACCACCTTCCGAGGGAGTCAGTTCCACTATGGAACAGCTCTTACCGCCACAAGGTCTTCCTGGTATTTAGTCAGAATCTCCTTTCTTGAGTTAGGGTTAGAAATGTGTCAGAACAATAGAGACCAAAGTTATTTGTTTTTCCATTGGTTGTGTGTGAGTGATTGAGGGATAAGGACAAACAAGGTGAATGGGACTGGGGGTGCTACTGTGGTGGACATGCATGTACAGTGGTGCCCCGCAAGACGAATGCCTCGCAAGACGAAAAACTCGCTAGACGAAAGGGTTTTCCGTTTTTTGAGTCGTTCCGCAAGACGAATTTCCCTATGGGCTTGCTTCGCAAGATGAAACGTCTTGCGAGTTCTTGCGAGTTTGTTTCCTTTTTCTTAAAGCCGCTAAGCCGTTAATAGCCGCTAAGCCGTTAATAGCCGCTAAGCCGCTAATAGCCGTGCTTCGCAAGACGAAAAAACCGCAAGACGAAGAGACTCGCGGAATGGATTAATTTCGTCTTGCGAGGCACCACTGTACGTTGATGAGCTGCTGCCTTATCCCAGTGGGAAGCCAAAAGGGCACTTCTGCTACAGTTAAATCATACTGGGTTAACTAGGGACAAGATCAAACTTTTTTTTTTCCATTTATACCTTTCTAGTTGTCAATAATCAATGACTTTTTTTTAGGAATTGATTCTAAACCGTTGGGTCTCATCCCATGAGCGCAGTGAACAAGAAGAGCTGTGATAAAATGGACTGCGGAAACATGACGACAAACTAAATAAAATGTCAAATGTTTACTCTTGTAGCGTTATCTGTGCATGTTGCATTACACACACACACAGTTTTTGTTTTTAAATTAAAACCTAGATGGATACTGACAGATATTCTCTGAACCCCCAAAATGTATTTTCTGTAGTTAAGTTTTTACCTCTATCTTCAGTACATTTTATGTAAGATTAAGATTAAGATTCTTCTTCTTCTTCATCTATTTTGTCCATGGAGAACATGAAATTTGTGTTCTTGGTCCACCTTGCCTTGATATTTCTGTGAACTTTAGCCATTCTGCTACAGGTAATGAACCAAACTTTAGCTCAGGGATGGGCAAGTTATAGCTCTCCAGAGGTTGCTGGACTACAGCTGACTATTGGCCATGGTGTTGGGGACCAGCAATATCTGTAGAGCTACAGCTGCTCCACCCCTGCCACTCCTGGTACATAGTTATAATTACTTTGGAAGCAAGAGGTGTTTGTAGAATGCAGATCAATAATGTTCAGAACGGCTTAGAGGAATGCCTGTTTAAAGGTAAAGGTAAAGGTACCCCTGCCCGTACGGGCCAGTCTTGACAGTCTCTAGGGTTGTGCGCCCATCTCACTCAAGAGGCCGGGGGCCAGCGCTGTCCGGAGACACTTCCGGGTCACGTGGCCAGCGTGACATCGCTGCTCTGGCGAGCCAGAGCTGCACACGGAAACGCCGTTTACCTTCCCGCTAGTAAGCGGTCCCTATTTATCTACTTGCACCCGGGGGTGCTTTCGAACTGCTAGGTTGGCAGGCGCTGGGACCGAGCAACGGGAGCGCACCCCGGCCGCGGGGATTCGAACCGCCGACCTTTCGATCGGCAAGCCCTAGGCGCTGAGGCTTTTACCCACAGCGCCACCCTGTGGGTAAAAAAAAAGATTAAATGCCTGTTTACTCAGAGGTAAATCCCAGTGAGTTCAGTGGGGCTTACTCCACATAGGACTGTAGCACGAGTAAAGCCGTGTTTGTTTCGAATCAGAAACACACCTAGGATGTTTTCAGTTTTCTACCTACCATTCTTTGTAAACTAACATTGCTATAGAGTAAATGTGCAAATGAAAGGAAGCCTTTTCTGTTAGGTTAATGATTTTGAAGGTTACTTGCAATATGCAAAAAAAAAAAATTTAAAAAAATCAGAACATGCAAGAATGCAGATAATGTCTTTATTTTATTTCATTCTTCCAAATGTCATTGTTTAGAAAAGTAGAAGTTTATTGGAACAGCCTCAAGGTTCCATAGTCTTATGGATACTTGAGATTAATCCTCAATCTCTGTGGGACCGCCTTCTGAGTAAACGTGCAGCATGATTTAATACATGTGTTGCAGTCCCAGCTTCATGTTTTCTTCTGAGATGAAAGGAACAAGAAATAGAAGTGCCTTAACATAAGGATTTTACTTCCATTGCTATACAGTTCCCTCAATTTAAATTCAAATGGCAGTGCCCTCCTGAGCAGGCAGGTCAACCGCATAGAAGCCATTTTTGCATATTTCCTTGTAGATGGTGATATACTTGGAAGCTTTCCTTGTTCGTGGAATCACAAATCTCTCTGTAAATTCACTTTTATTCATTTGCTGCTTCTTTTGGGCGCTAAGCACACAGTTAATAAATGTTAGTGCATAGGTGTAACAGTTATGGAGATGTTCTTCATACCTATTAATGGGAGAAGAAGAAATTAGCATAAGAAACCAATGTGATACATGACTATTAAACATTTTATTAGCTTATGATGATGGTGCAGGCAGGCCATTATGCCAGAGCAATCCTTGACCAATGGAAACATGCACCAGCAGAACATCATTTATGGAAGGATTTTTTAAACGGTGGAACTTGGGGATGTGGTGGAGCAAAGCCACCATTGGTTAGTGTCTTATGTTTGCTGAGGTTAGTCACATTCATTCTGTCTATACAAAGTTACACATGGAAATGATGGAAAGATGCTGATGCTAATATCACCTCCTCCCCCCCCACCACCTAGACAAAACTTTAATGTCATATGTGCCATGTGAGTTACATCACACTGCCCTCATATTTTTTTTTAAAAAACTACACAAGTGGAAACTTCTGCCTTCTATTTAAAGTTCTAACTTTCAGTATGAGGCTTAATTTTCCTTCAGTTATATTTGGTTCACCCATAAATTTATCTTGGATGCAGTTCTTACCACCTTTACATTTTTCTCTTCTTGGAAAGCTGAATTTAGCAATAGCATTTAATCTCTTTTTGCATATTGCCGTGTGCCCGAGATTCTACTTGTCCTGTGAGTCTCCAGTGGGTAACAAAACAAGCATATATGGCATATGGAGCTGTAAGGATGTGGTTTGCATATGCTAACTGAAGTGTAACTGAGGAACTCTGTAGTCAGGTTAACTTTGCAATGTGTTCCTCATTATTATTAGAACAGTGCTGATTCATTAAAATTAGTCAAAATAAAAAAAAAATAAAAAAGCCAGGGAATGTCATCCTTGTATGATTATTTTTTTTTGTAAGTTTCTCACTTTGAAAACCTATTTCTCTAAAATTCAAAGTATGTATTGAGCTAATTTTTATGAGATACAAGTTTAGGTTTCTTAAAAGGATGGAGTGGCTCTGAGTGCTTTTGCAGCCTATTCTTAGGCGACACACTACTGGGTGGGCTTGGCTTAAAACAAAAACAGATGATGGCCTCAACCGCAAATTTTATGACTGCCTGTTTAGATCCAGAACAAAATGGTTTTTTAAAAATAAAAAAAATAAGATTTATGTCTTTCTTTCCTTACCGAACTGCAGTAAAATTACAAATCTCATGGTAGACACATGCTCTCACCACCAGCATTTCTTATGTCACACACTCTTAGCAAAAAGAGTGCTGTAATTTTCAGAGTAGTGTCTTTGCCTGTAACTTTTCCATAGCTTGGGGATGCCAATGAATCCCTTCTTGGATTACTTGAAACCTGCACACAGCTCTTGTTCAATTAAAGTAAGAGAGAATATAGTCTACGTTTACATTAATTTTTTCAAAATTCCAGAACTTGTAAGTGATCATCAGGTCTTGAACATTTGTTGGCCCTTTTTGGTACTTGTAATCATCACTGTATATATTATGCTGGGTCGCAGAAAAATAGCTTGACTAAAGCCTTTATTGGAATGACGTTCCTATCGCTAGAAGTACTTGAAAAGCAAACATAATATGTTTTGTTTTCCACCCTGAAACCATAGGTTGTACTCGAGGGACTATTTGGAATGTACTTCAGGAGAAATCAATCCTAATAATCATTGGATCAGTGAATATGGACACTGAAATGTTGTTAAGGCTTAGATTAGCCTTCTGGTACTCTCTGGAAATTTTGGACTACAACTCCTATCATTTCTGCCAATTGCCTATGCTGACTGCGGCTGATGGGAGTGGTGGTTAATGCAGCTGGAGAGCACCTGATTGAGAGAGGCTGACATAAATAATGAAAGCAGCAAAACCTGCCTGTATTCAATTTTGGTTTTGTTTGTTCGTCTTCCAACAGAAGTGCAATTCTGTACATGCTTACATCCCGTTCCCTCTTGATCAGTGTATCAAACGGTCGTATACATTCCAATCAATTCCTGTTCCTTATGAAACACATCTGACACCTTTGAACAGAAGTTAAAGCCAGCAACAATATATTTGATTGCACAGATGAGCGTTAACTGAGAATAGGATGGAGTCCAGTGATAATTTATTCTGCAAAACCATAACACTACAAAGTTACATGGAACTGCTTGCAATGTCTCGAGTCACCTCTCCCTTCTAGTATTGTTCATACAATACATACTATCAGAATCTCTCAATTAAACCCAAAATATACAGAAATAGTTAAAGGGTTAATGAAGAAAGAGGCCTCAGAGTAATTTTGTCTAAAACCATTTCTCCAAATGACTATATCAGATCCTTCTCTGAGTTACCACCTAGGCAGAGTTCCAAAACAAAGGATGTCTAGTTTAGCTGCCTTTGAACATAGTCACATTTGTCTATTGAGCTTCTTACCTGTGTGGAAGCCAGATTTCTGCTGCAGAGAATTGTTCTAGGTATGTATCCCATTGGTTAAGCAGGCCATACATGTCAGGCTGGACTAGATGAACACTTACACATTGTTCCCATCCATGCTCAGCTATGTTAACTCCAGTTTCGTTGTAATTATACACTAAACCTAAATACACAGCAACCGGACAAATCAGAAATGCAAAATGCAAGGATTAGTTATGACATGTTGACCAATAGTATAATTCATTGCATTCTGTTAATTGCTGTTACTTGCAACATCATTCCCATTTCTTTTACAGGCTCATCTGAACAGTAGTTCTAAAAATGTTGGTTATATGAACCCTGAGTATGTAGTCCTATGAATCTCAATGTAATGGCATAATTAATTACCTAAATTGTGTAATTTTGCCACAGCAGAAAGCAAGACAAGTAACATTTTTGGCAGAAGACAAATGGTGGTGTAATGGAAGCAGTGCCGCATAAAACCAATACAAGTGGAACAAAAAATTATGCCTTCTTACATCCCTAGGCCCAACTGAAAAGAGCTCTAGCTACAGGCAATCACATATGCAAACTTTCCCCAGGAAAAATGGTTATGTAGACTTAGCAAAAAGGGGATTGGTGGTAGAAGGGTTGCAGTTCACATACTGTAAGGAGCCTGAAATCTTGGAAAAGGAAGAGAAATCAAGGGCCAGAATGCCAGGAGGTTGAAGGGGGAGACATTGTAGGCAATAGGCAAAGGATGAGCAACCTGAGAGAAGGAAATGAGTCCAAAGACATTTATGTTTCACATAGAGAATCTTAATTTAGAAAGTGAATTACAAATGTCTCTTACCACTAGTATTGGTTATTCCAACATGGAGATCAGAACTTCCATCATACCCTCTGAAAGAAGACATTTAATATCTTTTCATGTTAGAAAACAATCCAGTTATTGGGGAGGGAAATGCTATATTTTTGCAATATAGAGAAATGTCCTGTTCCCTCTCTCTGCCCTGAAAAGACTGACTACAATCTTATCAAATGTAATTACTGTTCCATTTAATTAATTAAACTTCTAAATGAGTAAAAGGCTGCCTCAATCTGGCAGCAAATTATACATGATATACATACAAAAAAGCACTTATATAAACTGCAGGTGGTTAGCATCATATTAGAAGAGGTATCAACAACAATAACGAGTTTATTTCGGGAATTATTTTCATCCTGATGCAAATGCTATTGATACATTAAAGGTAAAGGTAAAGGTACCCCTGCCCGTACGGGCCAGTCTTGACAGACTCTGGGGTTGTGCACCCATCTCACTTAAGAGGCCAGGGGCCAGCGCTGTCCGGAGACACTTCCGGGTCACGTGGCCAGTGTGACAAAGCTGCACATTACTTAGCTAAAAACTCATGCAATTACCGGTAATTGATCAATACTTTTCATCAGGTTGTACCCCACGTTCTGCAGATTTTATAATTCCTCTAAACCAAGCATGGGGAACCTTTAAGCTCCCCATTGTTTCTTTGCAGCTATGTGGGTACCTTTCCCATGGCACCAAATATGACCACAGATGTGGGATAGTTGGGTGTGGTTTGCAAGGAATGGCCTCATATATTGAAGCAGGACTCCCGTTGGCCCAAATCTGCCCTGAAGCACAAGAGGTTCCCTACCCTTGCTCTAAATCAGTGTTTCCCAAACTCTGGTCTCTAGCTGTTTTGGGACTACAGTTCCCATCATCCCAGACCACTGGTCCTGCTAGCTAGAGATGATGGGAGTTGTAGTTGAAAAACAGCTGGAGACCTAAGACTGAGAAACGCTGCTCTAAACTGATCGTGGGATTTGTAACTCTATAAAGGTGGTGTGTTGTTGTTGTTTGTTTGTTTTCATTTCTATACCGCTTTATAAGAAAAAATCTCAAAGCCGTTTACAGTTGATCACTAAATTAGACCTGACCTGTCAATTTGGTTTCAAAACAAATTTTGACTCACTTTAGTAAATTATGCAGAATTTACTCATTTCTACACCAGAGCTTAGAATAAGACCACATGGTTTGTCTGCAGAAGGTGCCATATTTATTTCATTTTTAAAGTTTTACAAACCATTTAATCCAAGAACTCTCAAGGCAGTGTACATAATAAAATTGTACCGAAATCCACTATGAAGAAACATACACGAAATAATAATTATTAAGACACAGATGAAAACCATAGAACTTCTAAAACAAATATAGGTAACTAAATCATAGGTCCGGGTAGGCTTGCTAAAATAAAAACTTTTTCAGTGCATGTCTGAAATATAGTGAGGGTGCTGCCAAACTAAATGATCAACTCCTCGCAAAGGCAGAGCAGACATTATATGGCACTTGTCAAAGTGCAAGTTCCCCAGATCAAAACAGTCAAATTGGCACATGTAGGGCAAGCCAATCCCTTAAGTAAACTGGTCCCAAGCTCTTAAGGCCTTGAATTGCAGAACCCAGTGACAAACTGACAACCAATACAGATCTTTGAGCAATGGTACCATCATGCTGGCAAAATCTCACTATCAGTCATCATGCTGCAGCATTCTGCACTGCGCACTGCTCATTCCTTGGCACCTCTAATCCTGCTGCCACATTGCAAGGATGAGAGAGAATTTAGCCCCAGATCTTGGGAAAACATTGCTACCCATAAGTGGACTGCGGCAGATGGACTGATCTAATCCATCGTAAGATAGCTTTCATATGTCTTCTTTCTGAGCACACAATCAAGCAAAATGAACATAAATACTAAACATAGCATTGTTGAGCAGAAAATCCTACCTCAGAAAGGTTCCTGTAGTAGGTTTAAGTAAAAAAGAACATCTTTCTCTGTGCCCATTAACAAATGGGCTGGGGATAGTGACAGGTGCTTCTTCCAGTTTCCTGTAGAACAGGCTCTGCCCACACAGGGGACAATGCTTGGGCACAAAGGAACCAAAGATGTCTCTCTTACAGTGGCTGATTTTGATTAAGCCTCTCTCCGAGTCCAAAGGCTGCATGATTTCTGCCTTCTCCTTGTGCAAATGCAGCTGGGCTTCTACCTGGCACAGGCTTATGGGTGAAAGGCAGAGCTTAACTACTGAAATGGGCATGGGAAAGTGGGTGGGATTTATTAGCTGTGCAGGTGAGAATGACAGATCAGAGTGCCAATTACTCCTCTAAGAGACGGAAGCAGAGAAGGGGGCAGGGAGGGAGGGAGGGTTTGCAGGTGGACATTCCCTTAAAGAGCCAGTATTTGTTTTTTCACATCATGATGAGGTTATTCTGCTGTAGATTCACACAGTATGGTAGCTGTAATTTGTCCACTCACGTGGTGAATATTGGCTCAGTTCCTGCTAGTGGCTAGCCTTCTGTTTTCTGCATATAAAACCGAAACCCCAAAGCTATGTTAACTGATGTTAAACAGAAAGGCCCCTGTATTTTCTCTTTTGCACAGAAAGAAAACTGTGACTTGGAAGTTTGGGGCTTGCACCTGCTTCTCCGCTAGCATAGCTGTCAGGCAAACCTAGCAGCATAATACAGTGGTACCTTGGGTTACAGACGCTTCAGGTTACAGACGCTTCAGGTTACAGACTCCGCTAACCCAGAAATAGTACCTCAGGTTAAGAACTTTGCTTCAGGGTGAGAACAGAAATTGCGCAGCAGTGGCACAGTGGCAGCAGGAGCCCCATTAGCTAAAGTGGTGTCTCAGGTTAAGAACAGTTTCAGGTTAAGAACAGACCTCCAGAACGAATTAAGTTCTTAACCTGAAGTACCACTGTAAAGCTGTTCTTACTGACCACATTCTAATATAACTGAAAGCAGCTCCAAACAAGAACCAAGGCAGTAATCAGAACTAAAGGACCACCCAGGAATCCATCTTACTAGCTGCAGGAGGCAAGGTTTCTCTCTCCATGTGATCTGCCTGCCTGCTGTGTAAATTTCTTGTGAGGAATTGTACTCTGCTCTACGAAACCCTGGAGCAGATTATTATGAAACTAATAAAGGTTAAATGTCAGGGGCCCTAATCCCAGACAGGCACCATAAGTGACTTCAGTCCACGTAGCTTAAAAATTTGGGGTCTAGTAGACTCAAATTGAGTCACACGACTCAAACTGATTAATTTTTTGTTGTATATATTTCAACGCCAGCGTTTGAAAGTCTGTAGTACAGATGCTACAAAGGTGGTGTGTCGTGGCAAGTTGGCCATTCTGCTGAAGAGCGCTTAAATTCTTTCTGAATATTGCCTCTAGAAAATTCCAAGAAGGACTGCAACCCTAAGCACACTAAGTAGAGAATGGACTTAAAAAGGTAAAGGTACCCCTGCCCGTACGGGCCAGTCTTGACAGACTCTAGGGTTGTGCGCCCATCTCACTTAAGAGGCTGGGGGCCAGCGCTGTCCGGAGACACTTCCAGGTCATGTGGCCAGCGTGACAAAGCTGCATCTGGCAAGCCAGCGCAGCACATGGAAACGCCGTTTACCTTCCCGCCAGTAAGCGGTCCCTATTTATCTACTTGCACCCGGGGGTGCTTTCGAACTGCTAGGTTGGCAGGCGCTGGGACCGAACAGCGGGAGCGCACCCCGCCGCGGGGTTTCGAACCGCCGACCTTTCAATTGGCAAGCCCTAGGCGCTGAGGCTTTTACCCACAGCGCCACCCGCGTCCAAGAGAATGGACTTACTTCTGATTAAATCTACTTAGCCTTGCACCTATATTTCGGGAGACAAGAAAGCAAAAGAAGGAAATATATTGTCTCTCAGTTATCAGAGCATAAGACTCTTAATCTAAGGGTCATGGGTTTGAGTCCTACGTTGGCAAAATATTTCTGCATTGCAGGGGATTGGACTAGATGACCCTCGTGACCCCTGCGAATTCTACGATTCTATGATTCCTGGTGTTTGTGACGCTTCCCGCCCTCCTTGCTAGATAGGGCGATGTGCAGCTCCCAAAAGATTCGGCGCCACCGTAGATTGAGAACGACTGTCTTGTTCAGAGGCGCCGCTAGAGGGCGCGCCGCCTCGCTCTCGCGTTGGCGCTTCAGGCGCGCGGCCGCTCTAGCCCCACAGGCTGGCAAGGAGCTACGGCAAGTCTCCATGGCCGCCGCCGCCGACCTCCATTTCCGCCACAGCCAAAAGCATCCGGCCTCTAATTACGGCCGCGCGTGCCTCCCCTAATGCCTTCCGACCGGAAACCAGTTCCTGCAAGAAGAGGCCGGGTAGCTTTGGCAGGGCTCCCAAACAGCTCCTCCTCCTCCTCCCTTCGCCCGCCGCCTTAAGCTTCTCAGGGCTCAGCGGAACCAAAATGCGAGGAGTTGGCCGGGAGGGGACGCCGAAGCGGGAGCGGAGCCGGAGGAGACATGAGCAGCACTAAGGACGTGACCTGCAGGTCAGAGCCGCCGAGCACTGCGACCTCTCCCCTCCCCCACCCGCCGCCCTACGGCGCGCGGGCACGCCCCGCCCCTCGCCGGGGAGGGGTCGAGAGGCGGCCGGGCTCCCGCCCTCCTCCCTCCCGCCTTTGGCCCGTTAAACTCCCGAGAGCCCCCTCCCCCACCCAACGGAAGGGGAAGGAGAGGCGGGCGCCGCTGCTTCTGCTTCCTACCTTTGTTCCATTTCCCTAGTGACAGGCGGACACACCCCGCTCCCGCCTCCCGCCTGCAGCCCCGTTGGTCCCAAAGCCCTGCAAGGGGACCCTCGTGGGCCTAGAAGCCACTAGGTGTATAGGAGGCCCTTTGGGATCTGGCCTCCTTGGGGGGAGAGGACGAGGCAACCTCTGTGATCCTGGCCCCCCATCCCTACCTAGCTCGCCTTCGCACGCGCCTGTGTGTGTCTCCTTGTTTAGCTTGCTTTTGAGCAGCTGAAGTTCGCCCCAGTAGGGAAGAGAAACAGAAACTTAGTTGTGCGAGAGGAGGAACCCAAGAGCAGCCCTGTTGGATCAGAACTGTGGCCCTTTCTGGTCCAGCATCTCGTTCTCAACAGTGCGCAAGCGGACACGGAGCCATAATAGGAGCACAACAAAGCAATCCTCACCTTTGAATTCCGGCAACTGATATTCAGAGGAATGCTGCCTGGGATGCTGACCTTCATGACCCTGATTGCTGGTCCTCACCATGTTATGTGGCAGGGCATTTCATAGTTTAGCTATGCTCTGAAAAGAAGCATTTCCAGATTTTGTATGTCCTGAATCTCCTATGATTCATCTTCATGGGATGTCCCAGTTTCTAGTATTACCCAAATAGAGAGAGAAAATTATTGGTGATTATTTTTTTTAAGTAAGCCTTTTAAAAGAACATATTATGTCAAGTTCATTTTCTGCTATTTATTTAGTCAGTTGCTTTATATCGCCCAGGGCAATCCAAAGATACATTAAAACCAAGAGGAAAAAGAAGTGTTTTAAAAACATCCCATCCGACTTCTAATAGGCCACAGATAGTTAAAGGTCAAAGGCCTTGTTACAGAAGAAAATTTTTGCCTGGTGCCTAAAGCTATATAATGATGGTTCCAGGTGAACCTCCCTGGAGAGAGCACTCCACAAATGATGCCCGTTCTCCTGTTGCCATTTTCCAGACCTCTTGTGAAGGAGGCACACAAAGAAGGGTCTTAGCGGGGTCTGGGTTGGTTCATATGGGGAGAGGCAGTCCTTAAAGTATTGCAGTCTTGAGTCATTTAAGGCTTTATATGTCAAAAGCAGCGCTTTGAATTGGGCCTGGAAACTAATTGGCAGCCAGTAGAGTTATGCCAGGATTGGTGTTATATGCTCTTCTCCTGTGTTTCCCAAACTTTTTCTGACCGTGGCCCCCTTCCCGACCTTCTTTCCTTCCTGTGGCCCCCCACGGGTGTAGCCAAGGGGGAGGCAGGGGAGCAGCTGCCCCCCAAATCAGTAAAAATCAATACACATCTGAGGTTCTGCCCCCTTGCCTTTTTCTAACTTAAAAAGCCCTAAATTAGGCATAGGCAACCTCGGCCCTCCAGATGTTTTGGGACTACCAATTTCCATCATCCCCGACCACTGGTCCTGTTAGCTAGGGATCATGGGAGCTGTAGTCCCAAAACATATGGAGGGCCGAGGTTGCCTATGCCTCTTGATCACTTACTCTTTTACTAAGTTCATTTCATTTTTGAAATTGTGCTCTAATTTCTGTCTCACTTTTCCTGGTTTCACATTATGGTGCATGTAATAGTTGATGCATAATGCTTGGTGGTTGATTTTTTGGTCATGTCTGAACAACATCAAGAAATAGTTTAAATGCCTGTCATCTGTTGGTATTTTCTCTTTGTCGCTGCAGGTATTTTATGCAAGGGGTATGCCGTGAAGGAAGTAGGTGCCTGTTTTCACATGATTTGTCTACAAGTAAACCATCTACTATCTGCAAATTCTACCAGAAAGGCCAATGCGCCTATGGAACTCGCTGCAGGTATGGGCTGCTAGTTTTTAAAATAAAACCTACAGTTTTTTTGCAGTGGGGGAGGGGAGTGTCATGTCAACTATATTTCCTAAGCTGTTGATCCTCGAGACTTGAAGAACAGCTTGTGGCTTGGCTTCTATTTGGTTTGTAATATCTAGATTTTTATTAAAATCAGAGGAAGAGCTTAATGTTCCAATATCCTGGTTGCAGCTGGACAGTTAGTTCTTAGAATCTGTGCTGCTGCTTGTTTTATAAAAAAGCTTGCGAAATTAAAGCTTGCATTGTGTGGAGCCCAGGTGGTTGATCTAAAGTTACAATCCCATATACACTTTCTTTGGTGTATATACCATTGAACTGAGTGCATAGAATTGGGATGTTTATGCTGCAATCCTAAATATTAAGCAGAAGTAAGTTTCTTTTGAAATTGGCAGAGCTCTAAGTAAACATACATAGTATTCGGATCTTAGTTTTACTCTTAAGAGTACTTTCTGGGCTTAACTAGATGAGGGATGTAGTCTCTCCTAAGGGGATTTTAATTATGCTGTAGAAAGATTAAAAAGTCAATTTAGACTGCAGTCCTTACCCCACTAAGGCCCATTGAATTCAATAAGACTTACTTCTGAGTAGAATTCTGCTGGAAGACTGCAACCCTGCTCCTCACTTAATTGAAATCAGTGGGACTTATTCTTGCATAGGAAGGTACTGTGAATACGTTAAAAGTGCAGTAACTCGTACTCATTGTATGTTCAGTATAGATTTTGCTGAATTCATCCAAGCAGTGAGTGACACTCATTCTTAAGAGCCCACTTGCTTTTAAACAGCCTGCCTATTGAAACAAGTCCCTTTTTGCAAGGGTGGCTATCCCCCCAAACCTGAGAATTACACAGTAAGGTAATTGTACTAGCACAAATGCATTGAAATAAATGTCTTCCGCAGTTAATATTTGTGGTCTTTTTATTTGTTCTTAAGATATGATCATGTTAGACCTTCTGCATCAGGTGCCATAGTGAGTACTAGGACACTTTGCGCTTCTGCACCACCATTCTACAGCCTTAACACTCAGCCGGAGCAAAATACACCTATAACAAAAAGTAAAGTACATGAACCTGGAAAACGTGAAAAGAAAACATTAGTGCTCAGAGACAGAGGTAAGAGTGGGCTTTTTTCCATTTTTCTAATGCTGTTGACACTTCGTTGTTTTGCTTATTTGCTGCTTTTTATTTGGTCCTAAATGATTCAGGTGGACGCAGGTGGCGCTGTAGGTTAAACCACAGAGCCTAGGACTTGCCGATCAGAAGGTCGGTGGGTCGAATCCCTGCGACGGGGTGAGCTCCCGTTGCTCAGTCCCTGCTCCTGCCAACCTATCAATTCGAAAGCACGTCAAAGTGCAAGTACATAAATAGGTACCGCTCCAGTGGGAAGGTAAACAGCGTTTCCGTGTGCTGCTCTGGTTTGCCAGAAGTGGCTTAGTCATGCTGGCCACATGACCCGGAAGCTGTACGCCGGCTCCCTCGGCCAATAAAGCGAGATGAGCGCCGCAACTCCAGAGTCGGTCACGACTGGACCTAATGGTCAGGGGTCCCTTTACCTTTTAAATGATTCCAAGCATTTGTCCTTACATAAACAGACTCACACACTGCAGCCGACACTCTAACATGTCACAATGTACAGTTTGAAAAGCTCTGGCCTACAGTGACCAAGAAACAGGCCCCAACTTTGGCAGATAGGAGCAGACTTGATTCTTAATGGCTGAGGTTTAAAAAGTTGGTTTCATGTGCACACACCATAATGTTCCTGAGTGCACCCTTTTGCATTCCCCAATGTCAGTGCATGGCTGCCATTCACTCGTATGGAGAAAGATGCAGCACTGCGCTTGGGGAGACTGTTGCTGTGAAGGGAGGGCAATAGCTACTCAATCTTCACCTCTAGGATCCTGGAAACTTACAAGCCCTCCCTTCATGCACACTGTGCCTGCTGCCATGACTGGCATTTTGTAAATTTGCCATTATTTTTCACCCATTCTTTAATTTTGGATGCATGTTTTTCTGATGCTTGTTCCAGAAAGAATTGGGTGTGAGTAATTAAGGTGCATGACTGGAGATGATAAAGCTTTCTACGATCTGAAGATGAAAGTAGGTTCCCTGTGTTTAGTGGAGGCAAGTTGAATTAAATTGCAATTTAGAAATGCCTGCCAGCTGCTTTATTACCTTATGATGGGATATTTCATGAGCAGCTAACCGTAGCTCTTCGGTTTCACATGATCACATGCTATTTTCTCCTCTCCCAAGATTTATGTGGCTCAAATGAGGAAAGGACGAGATGCAGCACTCAGAGTGATTCAGCATGTTGCAGTGTTCCAGCAGATGCTCTAGAAGCAAAGCCCCATTCATATTTGGAAGCTATCCGCAGTGGGCTTGAAGATGATGATGCTGAACCTGGAAGTTCATACGCTGATGGCGAACAGTTATGTCCCTATGCAGCAGCTGGCATGTGCCAGTTTGGTGACAGATGTCTCTACCTCCATGGGCAAGTGTGTGAAATCTGTGGCTTGCAAGTACTTCATCCCTTTGACCCAGAACAGAGAAAGATGCATGAAAAGGTAAACATGACTAAAAAGAAAACTAATTTCAACCTGATACTGTATTTCTTGAAACGTCTTGTAGATCTATGTCATCTTCGGTTTTTAGAGTCCTACAGATCTAGCTAGAATCTATGGTTTCCTGCCATGCGAGTGAGCCTAGGCCTCGAGTTCCCTCTTCTGCTCTTTCATGCCTTCATCAAGTAGACTGGAATCTTTGGCTTCTGGTTTTAAACTAACCACCACTCCCTCTGTCATCTGAACTTAGTGGACTGTGGTTTTGTTTATGCTGCAGCTGACTTTTTTTTCCAGATCCTGGCTTGGTCTCGCTAGGCATAGTTTGAACAAGCCACAGATACCCAAGTTCAGACATTGTGGGGGACTGTGGTTAGTTGGAAAGCTTCCTCTTTAAATTTACTCCATGTAGATTAATAATGTGATTCACTATTGTAGTAGGAAACCATGATAATGCTATTGTGTCAGTGTAGTCTTTACATTTTTGCTAGCATATTTTCCTCTAGTTTATTGGTAAGCTTCATTTTAAAGTATCTACAAGTATGTTTTTGTCACCTTCCATGAGTAATCAAGTGGCTTAAAAAATACTAATAACTTGAGTGAACTACTGGAGAAAGTAGTGTGTAAAATTGCATTGGAAAATAATACTTAAAATACAGTACAGTATAATCAGTGTGTGAAGCCATGAAATATAATTTTCACAGCTATATTAAAATATGTCTATTGTAGCATTATCAGAATCTAAAACCAAAGTAGGTGTTGAATGCACCAGCCTTAGAATTCAACCTGCTGCTAAATTCTTAAGTGTAACTGATTAGGAGTAATGAAATTCTCTTGAGCTTCTTTATAGGTGTGCTAATGCCGTACTGTTATTTTTAGATTTGATTGATGCTTTTAAATTAATTGTCTTGTATTTCATATAATATAGTTGGTTTCATTAACTCAAATATTTAACGCAGAATGTATCTATAAATGTTCCTGCATGCTGTATTCTATACATTTCATATCTGGGATTGTTTCCTGTACTGCTTCCATTCTTCTTAAAAATGATTGATAGTACAAAACCATAGCCTTCACTCTCTGCCCTTACTTACCAGCTTGTATCCAACATAATGCTAAGTGGATATTCCATCAGCCTAACAATTTCTGCTTTCTCAGTGGAATGTTTTCCCCTCTCTCCGTCCCCACGTGCCCCCTTAAACATTTCCAGGAGTTCCCCCAACCCTCTGGAACAGATTTGGGGAGAATGTGGTGCATGCATGGAGGGAGGAAATGGCCTGTAGCACAAGCACTAATCCTTGCACTGATGGGATGCAGTAGTTGAATACTACGGTAGTTCCATTCTTCTTTTCCTGACCCTTCCTGTCTGATGGCTCTCCTGCAATATGCTATGCTAAGGCAACGGACAATCTTTATGTTAGCCCAGTGCTCAAATGGGGCGGAATCCTATGTCACTTCTTTCCAGGCAGAGATCATTGGGCCTGGCCCAACATACCCCACTTCCTCTTTTGTCCCATGTTAAAACCAAACCTACTTCCTCTCCCACCCCTCACCCTCTTCAGACAGATTACTCATCAGTATTAAATTGAATGCTGTTAACTTCTCATATATCAGGACTGTTCAACTTGTGACCCATCATGCCAAATTCAGCTCACCAGCTGTACACTGTGATGTGATCACCAGGTGCTTGACAGTTCCCCCCCCCCATCTCCCGCTCTGTGAAAATAGGGCATTTACATAGTTGATGGTAGGCTTCATTAAGCTTAATGGGTCTGAAATTGTGTGGGCCTCATCTGTAAAATTCTACTGTCACATAATTGTATCGAGTTGCCATTTTAAATCCAAGGTCAGCTGCATGCTTAATTATAGCTTAATGCCAGTCCCTTGGCTCTCCAAGGTCTTTACGCTGGTGGGTTTGGTTTGGTTTAGTATTTATATTCTTCTTTTTTGTAAAAACAACAACAAAGCAGCTACTGTGTTTTTGGTGAGGTAGTTCTTAATTATTGTTTCTTTTATTACCAAGGAAAACTTGTTGTATCAATCTAGCAAGGAAACATTTGTCCCTCCCCTCTCCCTCCACAAATCTGCTTTGGAGGGTTAGTGGAACCCCTAGAAAAAGCTTGATTTCATGGAGCATAGGCTGCAATCCTTCATTCCTGGCAGGTGGCAGCAGGACTTGATGGAGCAGCAATGCCAGCACAGCACGTACAGGCTGGTGCTTGTGCCAGTTGAAGCAGGAGGGGGAGGCAGAGAAAATGTCCCTCTGCTGTGCCAGCTCCCAGGCTACTGTGAACAGGCCCAGATCTGACCCATTTGCCATCACACTGACAACAGCAAGGTCTGCACAGAATCTAGTAGATCCAGGACCAGCCCAGTCCTGCTCCCTCCCACTGGCTGTCGCCATCTGGGATGTTCCTCCACCATCTGAGGCTGACAGAGCCAGGAAGGACTGGATGGAGGGAACCTCTACTCCCAGCAAGGCATATGAGGTGTTTGAATTGCTCTGCCAATTCTAAATCAACAGGTTTAGGACTGTACTGTCAGAAGATTGTAGTGGCTCCATGTCAGAAACCTATAGTAGCAGTCCTTCCCTCTGCTTCCTTTAAAAATATATAATATCTTTTGGGCTATTCTTACATATATAGATGTGCATGGCTACGTTTGAACACGAGATGGAGAAGGCCTTTGCCTTTCAGGCAAGTCAGGACAAGGTGTGCAGTATCTGCATGGAAGTGGTATATGACAAACCATCAGCATCCGAAAGAAGATTTGGAATCCTTTCCAACTGCAATCACACATACTGCTTGTCCTGTATCCGGCAGTGGAGGGGGGTCAAGCAGTTTGAGAATCCAATCATAAAGTAAGTTCCTAACAACCTTCATTTTCAGAATACAGTGCGGAATACTTTTCTTATTTCTTTCCTTTGTATCTTCGAACGAGGTGTAGTGTAGCTGAGGATTGACTAAGGAAAGTTTTGCTTACGGTTTTTTGTTATTGCAGTGCTACAGGAATTTTTTCGATTGATGGGGAAACCCCCATTTGTAACAACAACCAAAAGATATTATGGAATATGTAAGGGGGGTTATTGATGAGAACAGAATATCATGTTTGTTGGCTTCAGTATGAGCCTCAGAAAATGAAGATTTGTGTGTGTTTGTACAGAAAATGCTGACACCTAGCATTTTTAAAATTTGGTTCCTTGGATAAGGCTGAATTTTTTTGTTATTGCCACCCCAACATTCAGCATACTGTAGCCACTGAGCATGTCATTGAATGCAGATAAAAATTAAATGGTGGGAAAGAATCTTGCCTGGATCAGCTCTGGAAGTGGGGGTGAAGGCAAAAGAGTAGGGAGTATGAGGCCATCTCTTTTTAATACTGCGCTTTGAATTGCTGTGACCTGCATCAGCTTTGAGAAACAGAAATTTGCATCCCAATTACCACACTGATCTGAGCAGAGAAGCTGAAATCTCTGCTCATATCAGCTCTTATGATGGAGCCCATCATCACACTGATAAGGGGAGAGCTTGAAACTTCTTTTCACCCCAGTGTGAGATTGGAGCTCAACACTGCCCCCTCCTGCCCTGCTCGCTTTTTAAGCTCCCCCATCCTCAGAAAAAAACTTTGTTTTTTTTTAAAGTTAGGGTTTTTTTAGGGTGGGGGAGCTTTCGGAGCTGCCAGAAATCACTCTGGGCCCCAGATATTGCTTCCAGGCCACAGGCTACTGAGTTGTACTTCAGAAGTGCTTGGTGTTGCTCTTGAATTGGATGAAACTACTTCTTCTCAGCAAACTACACATATACTTCTTAAATTTCATCCAAGGTCCTGTCCAGAATGTCGTGTGATATCAGAGTTTGTAATTCCCAGTGTGTATTGGGTAGAAGATCAGACTAAAAAGAACGAGCTGATTGAAGCATTTAAGCAGGGAGTGGGGTAAGTATTATGATTATTATAATGTGAGACCAGAGTTGTTTGATGAGAAGGAGTTCAATTACATCATCATCATAACTGTGTTATTGTCTCAAGCTAGAGCAGTATGCAGTATACAGAATACTTCTGTAGTTAAAAAAGGTTTCTGTGAATATGTCTACTAGACTATTAAACATAATAAAAGTGGCAATCAGTGGAATGAAATACCTTCTCCCCCCCCCCCCCAATTAAAATAACTCCAGGATGTGTTGGTTAAGAGTTTGGTAACATGTCTATGGTGCTCCAAATAGTGCTAATTTTTTTCACCCTTTAGCACGCTAGTAGTTTGATTCAGATGAAAGCCCAAGTCCTGCTTTGCATGAAGACGACCCAGGCTCACACACTCCATCTTCCCATTATGGCCTTCTGTTCTTCATCTGTCCTTCAGTTCTGGTTTGTAGGCAAACTGGTTTCTGCAAACCATAATTTGCAATTCTGTCTTCTAGTCAAAGTTGGTTTGCCAACAGAGCAGATGTAGATGGGGGTATGGAAATAGAGGCCATGTGAGTCCACTATGTTCCCAATCCTTTTGGTTTGGGGTTATTGAGCAACATTTATGCCCAAATTGACCCATGGCCTTTGCGCAAGTATTTTATTTATTTATTTAGTTCTGTTTATATATCATCCTTCACCAAAAGATCTCGGCACAGTTCACAAGATAAAAATGCAAGAAGCTGAGTGTCCCATAATACAAGTTTTACGAGTTACAAGTGATCACTGGTGATCCACCTACCCCTGTTTAGTTTTTTGTTTTACTAGCATTCTTCCACTTGGCTAGGCTCACACTTTTTTATCCCTTGAAATGAAAGTGAGTATTGGCATCTGGAAAAGGCCGTCTTTTCTCTTTTTTAAAATGTGTGTCATATTGAATTCAAGTGGGGACTCTTGATGATTAGTTCCATCGAGCTGCACTTCAGGCCTCAGATAGCTTGGCCAGGGACTTTGCTACTGTGTCTTTTTGGAGAATGCAGTCTTCGGGTTGCATTAATCTTCAATCTCATATATAGAAGTTTATGGCCTCATTTCTGAGGTTAATGAAGTAGAATATCTGGAAACACTTGTTTACTATTTGCATTTAGGCTGTAACTTGGTAATAAGGTCAGACCACAAATCATTTCAATATCCATTTTCTCTAAAATTGCTAAAGGTCCTGATTTTTTTACCCATGGTGGGGTGGGGAATACATCAGGAAATTTAAGAAGTCTTTTTCTAATCATTACTTTGCCAGGACAACATTTTTAAGTGCAGTGTTTAACTGAAACAGCAGATCTAGAATGAAAGTGTGTTTTCAACCTTCTCACACTATTTTGATCAAACTGTCCCCTTAAAATTTGTCAAAACAAAAACCCACATGTGGTGAATAGTTCATTTTATGTGAGCCTACAGTGAATTGTGTACATATCTTACTAATCTATCTAGCATTTGGTTAAATGCTTGTTGTAATTAACCAAATGCCAGCTGTGTCATTCTGTGACCTTCACTGTTGGTCTCTGAGATGTGTGTGCCTCAAAAGGCAAAGCTTTTGTTGTTTACATTGTGTTACTCTTTATTTATGCAGTGTTTATGCTTATCAGTCACATCAGGGGCTGTGCTATTAATACATCTAGAGCTGAAATCTGCAGCTGCTGATCAGAACAAGCAGCTTGAGCCTATGATTCGGTGTTTTGTGTCTAAAGGCTATAAATTATATACTTCTGTGGAAAATCTAAGCGTGACAGCTCCAAAAATGGACCTGTATGCAGGAAGGGAAAGCACCTGGCAGTAAACCTCCTGACTTTGCAGCTCTTTTATGAAACAAATCCACCCACAAAAATCATTTTGGATTTGTCTTGATAAGAGGAATCTGGAGGAATGGTATACTAGTCAGAACAGGACCAGAAATAAATGCACACATCAACTGCCATATCATACCCAACTTCCTTTCTCTGAAGATACACGGGAGAAAGAGTGGCTGCAAAAGGGTTGGCCATCTGATCTGCCCACGGACTGTACATCACTGCTCTGCTCCAGTAGAGATTGATGGAGAAGCATTCTATTCACCTAAAGCTTTGTTGAGCAGAGTCACCAATGCAAATCTACCGTATTTTTCGCATCATAGGACACACTTTTTCCCCTCCAAAAATGAAGGGGAAATGTGTGTGCGTCCTATGGTGCGAATGCAGGCTTTCGCTGAAGCCTGGAGAGTGAGAGGGGTCGGTGCGCACCGACCCCTCACGCTCTCCAGGCTTCGCACACCTCTCCGCAAGCAGCGGGAGCGCTCCCGCTGCTTGCGGAGAGTTGCCAGCATGCCGAAGCCTGCGCGCGCTGAGCTCAGCGCGCCCAGGCTTCGAGGACCTCTCCGCAAGCAGCGGGAGCGCTCCCGCTGCTTGCGGAGACTTGCCTGCATGCCGAAGCCTGCGCGCGCTGAGCTCAGCGCGCCCAGGCTTCGCGGACCTCTCCGCAAGCAGCGGGAGCGCTCCCACGGCTTGCAGAGAGCTGCCTGTTTGGGGGCTGGGGTCGGGGGAAGCTTGAGCTTCCCCCGCCCCAGCCCTGCGCCTGGGGGGGAAATACTTTTTTTCCCTTTATTTCCCCCCAAAAAAACTGGGTGCGCCCTATGGTCCGGTGCGCCCTATGGTGCGAAAAATACGGTAATTGGAGGGAGAGTTAGTGATGGGTGCTGGAGGAAATTAGTCAAGCTCTTTGTGTTTAATTGCTTTCCTCTTCCCTTACAGTGAAGCAAGCAATACTTGATGCCTGCAATAATGCCACTGACAATCTCCCCACCCCTTGCATTGAAGTGTCTTAGGTGCCTTTACTTTGGGTTTTCACTCCTGTATTTATTTTTATTTTTTCTTGTTTTTAGCAAATTAGCCACCTTGAGATTTAGGGTATAAATGAATGCCCTTGTGTTTTCTCTCTCTCTCTCCTATGTTCAGGAGGAAGGCCTGCAAGTATTTTGACCAGGGTAAGGGGACCTGCCCATTTGGGGGGAAGTGTCTGTACCTGCATGCCTATCCGGATGGGAGACGGGCTGAACCAGAGAAACCACGAAAGCAGCTTAGCTCTGAGGGGACTGTCCGGGTAAGATTTCCAGCCATGCATCTTCTCTCAACTAAACAGCAGCGCTGGGCTTCAGTGATCCGACACATTCTTCCACTGAAGACTTGTGACACTTTTATACATTCATAAAAGGCTTCCGAGTATCAGCTGTGGCATAGCTGGCCCCTTTGGGGAAGAGGGTGCTCTTTTCCTAAGATCCCAAGTACTGAATCTCACTTTGACAATGGAATTCTTTCAATTTCTGAATCTAGTTTACTTGGCATTTAAAACACAAATGCTCAAGTGTAGTTGTTCGTTTTTGCCTAGCTAGCAAGTGTGGTTTTAAATAGCCCTGAAAATTGCTCATTTACATGTTTGGATCATCTAAGTAGGCTTCTTTTCAGTAAAGACTTTGTATTTCTAATAATAGTGCACTTGTTGCTTATAACCTTTACTGTAAGCTTAATGCTGTTTTGTCAGATCAGTACAGATAACCTACACAACTAGTGCTGTAGCCCTTGCTGGCAGCACAGCCACAGCTGCATGCTTTGAAGTCCTGGACTTCAGAGCTCATTTTTTGTGTCTACTTTTGCTATATGATTGGAGCCTCTGAAGAGGGAGAGTTTACATGCAGTAGTTACCTGGTTTGAGCATGGTACAGAATTCATGCTCCAGAATTCATTCACCCCTCTGGCCATGCTGCACTGCAAGAGCCTTTTTGAACCTTATTTTTTCAGTCTACATGACAGAACATAGGCTCAGGCCATAGTGTGCATGGAAATTTAATTGTAATTGCTATTTTAACTAGAGGATCAGAATTTTAACACTATGTACCTCTCCAGCTGAAATCTGCACAGCTAAATGCTACATAATCTGTTCTGACTACTGATCACAATATTCAGGAGGCATTTATGGCCTTGTATTTCTGAGGGGATTTGTTGAACTTGGTCATGGATGAACTGAACTGCGTGACACAGGTTGGCTTCAGTATTTTGGAACTGGCACTTTACCGTATTAAACCTATGCCAGCCGTGCTATTACTATGACACATGCTGGTGCAGCAAAAATCCCCAAGATGTTACAAGTTGCAGTGCTGATGTAAGAGGCCTTAGGGTCCAATGAGGATTTAGAGTAGTAGTAGCTACAACACACACTCCCATCAGCTGGACCCAAGAGCTGTTAAGGTCTTGGAAATACAAAGGCCAGGATCACAAGCTTGCATTTACAGAAAGGCCCTTCCTAGGGCAAGGACTGATAGCTCACTGGTCAAGCACATGCTTGCACAGAGAAAGGTGCCAGTTTCAAGTGCTGTGAAAAATCTTTGCCCGAGACTAGTGGGTTAGATGGGCAAATAGGGGACTGTAGCCTCCAAGAAAAGGTAACTCTTCACACACATCAGTGACCCATGTGCCTCTCTGCAGCTGGCATCTTTTTGGTACCAAGGGAAGTAGGCCTTGTCATACTTGTACTGCACTGTGGAGGATGCTGTTTTAGCTGTAGCAGTACCCTGCTTTTCAGTTCAGGTGTATGCAGTATTTAAGCAGATATCTTCTTAGGTATGAGTCATTAGTGAGCACTATTTTGTTGTTTTTTTATTCTAGTTCCTTAATTCTGTTCGCCTCTGGGATTTTATTGAAGATCGAGAAAACAGAACACTGCCAGCTGCTGACAATGATGTAACAGAGATGGGAGAGCTTTTTATGCATCTTTCCGGAGCAGATGCTGAACCTGCTGCTCCTCCCTAAACCACCACAAGATCTCTACCATGTACTCTTCTGTATCAGTCTTTCTGTTCCTTAAATAACTTTGTACTGTTTACCACTTTAGAATTACTGTGCCATGGAGACTGAAGTCCTGGTGAAATTCTAGTATGAGCCTGACACTGTAGAGCAGAACAATTGAAGCTTAATAAAATGATTGCTTTAAATAAAAATGTCAGTGTATAGTCATAAGTAGAAGAACTTCTGTTTTTCTGAAATCAGAACACCAGTGTGTTCCCCAAAGAAAACTTGCAGATTTTGAGAGGTGATTTTTCAGGAAACAAATCGTAAGTAAAGCTAGAGGCAGGCAGTAGGGAGCATCAAGCATCATCATGTAGCATTCTGCCTGACTCAAACCAGCATACCCCAGTATAGCTTAATGTTGTTAAAGGTTGTTAGGTTTTTTTTACAAGAAAAAAGGTAGAAAAATTATATAGGACTAGTCAAGTGTTAAAGCAGTACAGTTGATCAAATGTTAAACTCTAAATGGATCATGTTTTTGAATGCCTTATTTAATGTTCTTTAAAAGTTGGTTATGAACAATAGTACAAGGCTCCATTTCATAAGCAATATAAATATTTTAACAAAGTAACGCACCAATCTATGCTACCATTGTTTTGACTGTACTAATAATGGAAGTCCAGTCAGAATAAGCCAGCAGTTGCATGCAGGTGGAGCAGGCAACATCTCTTTGGTACAGAAATATCACTTACGGGATTTCTCTACTACTCAAGCCACTGTACGTCTCTTAGACTATATTCTATTAAAATCCATACCCAGTCTCTGCTGGAAAACTCAGTAATGTAGCCCACCTTTTTCCATATAAAGGTGATCCCTTTAGGTGCCCAATGCGTCCACCAGGACTTTGGAAGATGAGAGCTAATACTTTGAATAGTGCTTGGAAATAAACCAATGCACCTGCAAGATATGTTTCTATTACCAAAACAGTCAGAACCCACATTTTTAACTATCTGCCATTTCCAAGTGATCTTCGAAAGGGTATAACTAGGTCAATACTGTGCAGAAGAGTTCACAGCTCACTCGAGAGGCATCATGAAGATACTGAAAGGATACAGGGGGGCCCTGCAGGACCTCATAGGATAAATGGCATGATGGGCCAAGCAGTAAAAGCCCTTGCCCTGTCTTCTGAGAGCAGCTGCCCAAGACAAGCACAACTACTGAAACACCGCCTTCAAGCTAGAGAGCTTGTCTTGAAGGATATCACGGTTGATTTTTTATTATTTATTAAATCTGTATACTGCTCTATACCCATAGATCTCAGGGTGGTTCATTACATGCCATCAGAGGCCGCTGCAAGGTCCAGAATGAGCAGGGGCACCCCCTCCTTGCACAGATCATCCATCAAGGTAATACGATAAAACCAGGTCTGCAAATGGACTGAAATTGGCAACCACATAATTGAGCACCTTTCCAGGAAGGGACTATTAAGCAATGCTTTGTCAGCATCTACAGAAGTGACATTTTTGGGGGAAGGAGAGAAAAATGTTAACAGCAGCTTACCACTTGGAGAGTGGCAAGAACTGCAGCAATTTCTGTTTCTGTGGTTGTGTGGTTCCCACCCCCACCCCAAAAAAATGCTTCTTGGGAGGCCAGATCCATCTACTCTAGCTACAGTTTATTACACAGCTAATTGTTAAGTGCTACTATATTAAAACTGAATAAATGCATGAATTTAATGTTAGTAAATGTCAGCTGCACCTAGACTATCCTTATTTTATTGGACAAGGAGTAGGAGATAACGGGAGAGGAGATTTCGATAGGGCCACCCAGAGCTATACCAGAACTCCCACCATCCACATGCAGGGTCAACAAAACTAACCTGGCTTGTTACTATGGAAAATGTTATTCCTACAGTGTAAAATGTATTGGCATTGCTCCCTAACAAGGTTGGGAATAGCTTTAAAGAAAGTTACTTTACCAGCAAACGAGGCAAAATGAATCCCATAATTGCTATAAAAATAGCATTCATTTCTAGCTAAGCCAGACCACGCTGCAGTGTTTTAAGGTGCAGTGCATTTGCAGAATGAATTCCTCTTCCACTTACATTTATGTAGAACATGGGTGGGTTTAAATTTCAGATCGCATTTCTAAAACTGGAAACATGCCAGACTGTTGCTTTAAGTATCTTTTTTGAGTGGCATGCCTATGACTTGCATTGGGGAGGAGAAACTAAAAGCTTAAAGCAGGCAGTAATTTTAGCTTGGACAGGAGCCAGTAGGGTTTCAGAGAAGATGGAGCAGGCTTTGCCCAGTCTGCTTCTGCTAACTCTTCAAATTCTCAAATTACACCTCCAACTTCCAGAACCTGAAGGAACTGCATTTTCAGTTTTTGCTTCTACATTATATATTTAAATGAAGATAAATCAGTATTTGCTAAGGGGCACAAACCAATGCTTTCCTTATCTCCCCATCCTTAGAGAAAGTATCTAAATCCAACACACCATCTTACGGGTAGAGAATGTGTTTCCTCCTTAAAGGATGCCGAAGTTAAGGCACTCGTGTAATCATATGGAAGCACACTAACTCTTTGCTTAAACTGTGTACTTTTATACTAGTGTTGAAAGCAGTTTTACACAGTATCTCAGTACTATTTACATCAAATATGTAATGGAAGTTTCATGGGTCAACCATTGTACCTGGCATTCCATGCTGTGCTCACATTGCATGCTAACTGCACTTCAGCTTTAGCCCATTATTGTTTAGCCACTAAATAGGACTAAAGTTAAAGCAGTTGTGCCCAGAATGTAGTCCAGACTGTAAATCAAACGAATCCATGTGGAGATCTCCAAAGAAACCCAGAAGAATTCATTCCAGAATGCCACAACTCAACCCACAATATGGACTGTACAGTTCAAAAGCTGGGTTGGATCCAGACAGTCATGATGCATCTACTCTAAGAATGACTAAGGCTGCAACTCTAAACCCACTTACCTGGGAGTAAGTTCCACTGAGGTCAACAGGATATACTAATGAGTAGACATGGTTATGATTGCCCCATGAATAAGGATCAAGCCCAAGGTATCAGGAGAAGGCAGAAAATACATACTGAAAAAAGCTTGCTTTTCATGCACTATACTTCAGTCATTGTTCACTTAACGTATGAAGTTTGATCAGAAAATGCACTTTACCAGGTACACTTTTCTGATGCTGTAATGCTAATGTAAAACACCAACAAATCCAGACTTCAAACTGTACAAGTCTTATAACTGTATAATGCATGTTCATTACAATACTGGGCAAGAACAAGTGCCAGCAGCAAGGAATAACAAAGAATTTGAAAATCAACCGGCTTAAGTACACCTAACCCTGTTTAGGATTTGGACGCTGTGCACACACTTATCCTCTCCATTGTTTACTCCTGAAACCCTAAGGGCACACAAAATGCATTAGCTTAACTCCAGAAATAAATATAACTCACCCAATATTTGCATTATGATAGTGAATACAAAAGTGCCAAGCATTCAAAAGCCACTGCAGTACAGTATTGTGGCACCTGAATACACTCATTGTAGGGGACATTTTTGAATATGGAGCAGAAAATATGAATTACAGAAAGGGTGGGAGTTCCTTGGAAAGCAGGGGGGCTTTTCAGTTCCTGGGTGTCACTTCAGCTGCAGCTGATCAGAGGAACTGAACAGCTCAGCAGGCACTACAAGTGGCAGAGGCTTGTAAGCAGCACATGGAAAGTGACAGCAAGTGTTTATGAACAGCAAAGGAACATTGGCACAAGGACAGCTACAAAATGGAAGCCAGTCTTTGCATACCAAACTTAATACTATTAAGGAGAGTGCAAGCTGAAAGGCACAACTGAAATTATGTTAGCAGTGATGCAACGCAACCCAGGGAAATGAAGTTCCTTACCTTTGCATGGATTATCAATCAGAAAGTTACCTCTCACTCTTAATCCCTGAGCAGTTTTCATTTATCACTGCTTCCTGAGTAACTGACCTCCTTTATGCCTTAAAAAGAAATAAAGCCTACTGCATACAACTTGTATACAACTTTCTACTGAGTTACCTAACATGATACTGTGTAAGATCAGGCAACCAGCGATCTAACACCCTCATTTATTACACACGGGATTGTCAATTCGCCTTTAAAAAAATCTTAATCCTGTTCCAAAGAATCTGCAGATTTGACTATGTCACCTCTACGAACCACCTCTAGGAGTCACCTGAGGGCCAAACTACATGTCTATAGATTTTATAGTAACACAGCCAGTATAGATTCCGCCCCCCGCCCCCCCGGGAAATGCTAGCTTCAGGGGAAGGGTCAAATTCCCCTTCACAATCTCAATAATTATCAAGTGTTCACCCAGCTGATGCTACAAGCATTTAATATCATATCTAGCCTGGCTCTTTAGTGAACTCGGTAACTTCCATTCCAGGCCTGTGGACAAAAGGCAGAGGATAAATTTGCATGATTTCTTCTTTCTCTGTAAAGTGAGTCTTTCCATCACTAAAATCCATGTGGAACTAGATAGTAAGGATTTGCTGGATGTGTGGTGAACTAAATGTATTTATCTGAGAGCAACCCACAACTGAAGATGCACACCTACACTTACAGTGGTGGTGGTTCAATATGGGAAATATGGGTCTATGGGTCAAAAAACAGCTTACCTACATCTCCAAGGGGCACTTTGCTGTGCCTGAAAGTGATAAACTTATTCTTGAAAACTGCATCACATCTAAAGATCCCTCAAAAGGCTGCTGGAGCTACAAAGCACATTCTTCAGAGAATATAATGGTACGAGGAAATGCACAGTTAATAGCTCTACAGTTCTTTCCAAAATGGTATTTTAGAGGGGAATCGCTCCAGTATTTTCTTTGCTTTTATGCACACAGTGAACTAGATATTGCAGACAGGGCATCACAGCTACATAATACACACATTTAAGAACATGGTGCACACACATCAAATGTGGAACATCGGTTAAAAAACCGACTGAATGACAAACTTAAATTTAATTTATTTTATTAAAATAAGATAATCAGAAGAACCTGTGTTTACAATAAATGCTTTTCTCTGAGGGGCAATGAAAACAAAGTTAAAACCCAAATCAGCAAGGGAAAACCTGTATATGCCAAGTTTCTTTATAGTGCATCTCAGGAAAAAAAAGTTTCAAAACAGACTTTATTTTGCAGAAATTTACTAACAGAATTACTTATTTTGCCTCTTCTCCTCCCAAAAACCTATAGTTTCTCATCGGACCCTCAGAGCGCCGCAAGAAACAAGTCCGAAGTACCCAACAAGCTTCTTATGTTACTGTTAGATGATTGTAGGAAGATTGTGCTAGCTTCTTTCTCTGGACAGTACTAGTTATAATATATTCCTTGCCTCAAAATTAGTATTTTCCACATGTGCAAAACTGTTTTGTGTTGACTTAATATTGGTGTTTAACGTTTCATGATCTTGAGAAATGCTTAGAAGTGGAAACTTTCCAGAGCTTGAATTCCCCTCTTCCCTTAAGTCTTCTTTGTGGATAGCCGTTTTAGTTAAAATTCCTCCAGCCTGAATGGCACAAA